GAGGAAAAAATGGACAAAGATCTCTTCTTTCATTTCCACTTCCGTGAGTAATCAACTTCCAAACATGACGAAAGGTAAATTGTTCTTACAGATTAATTCCAGGTCCACAACCACTTCAATTGGTAAGCATTACAATTTGAATTTAAGGTTATGGGCACCACACATATAGATCTCTGGAACCCCAAATATCTTGCAAGGTTTTGTTAACATCTTGTAAGATAATGATACTGAAGGGTTAAAGTCATTGGCTAGGAATATTGTGAACTGTAAGGCAGCTAGAATGTTCTACTGACAAACCTTGAACTACTAACACTTGGATTGCTTTGGTGAAGTTAGAATTATACCCGTCAATTCTGGGAAGGAGACAAAATATTCAATTATATAAGAAAAATGATGGTATTACTTCAGTTTCCCTTCGTGTTACTTTTTCCTGACAAAGCCAGGAAAAGCTTATGCTTTCATTTTTTTTCACATTTTTTTAAACCACACAGGATTAAGTACTATAAAATATTGGCATTGAGGAGACCAGATTCAGAAATGATGTAAGTTCTATCTCAATAGCATGCTACACTATGGACACAATTATTAGGCAACTTGTATTTTAGAGAATTAATTTTCTTATTGAGCAATTACAGTGCTTTCAGTCAATCAAAAATGCTGATAAATTGCAAACCTGAATATGTAAGAAAGTAAAAGTGAGGTTTTTGCTTTCTTAGAAGAATATGTGTGCACAACTATTGGGCAACTTTAGTGTGCAGAATTATGCAACTAAATGAAAAATGAAATTTTGCCTATCTCACTCATTTATTTGCATCATAAAGTGAGAATATAAATAAACAACTCAAAATGTACGAATGTACAAATAAACCGCCTTGTCAATAACAGTCATAAGCCTTCTATTAATGGAGTCTGTCAGTTTCTTGATCTGTTGACGATCAACGTTTTGTGCAGCAGCAACCACAGCTTCCCAGAAACCGTTCAGAGGTGTACTGTTCTCCTTCATCGTAAATCTCCCGTTTAAGAAGAGCCCACAAGTTCTCAATAGGTTTAGGTCAAGTGAAGAAGGGGGCCATGTCATTATTCTTTCATCTTTAAGGCTTTTACTGGCAAGCCACACAATGGAGTACTTTGATGCATGTGATGGAGCATTGTTCTGCATAAAAATCATGGTCTTCTTGAAAGATGCAGACTTTTTCCTGTACCATTGCTTGAAGAAAGTGTCTTCTAAAAACTGGCAGTAGTTTTGGGAGTTGATTTTGAGTCCATCCTCAACCCGAAAATGTCCAACTAGCTCATCTTTAATAATGCCAGCCCATACCAGTACCCCACCTCCATCTTGCTGGCATCGATTCGAAGAGCATCTCTGTGCCCATTACTGATCCAGCCATGGGTCCATCAAGAGTCACTCTCATCAGTCCATAAAACCTCTGAAAAATCTGCCTTCAGATATTTTTTGGCCCAGTCTTGCCATTTCAACTTATGTGTCTTGTTCAGTGATGATCAGGCTTCAGCCTTCCTTACCTTGCCCACGTCTCTGAGCACTAACACCTTGTATTTCTGGGCATTTCAGGTAGGTTGCAGTTTTGGAATATGACAGCACTGGAAGTTAATGGGTTCCTGGTAGCTTCACGTTTGATTCTTCTTAAATCTTTGGCAGTTAATGTGCATCTTTTTTTCTCAACATGTTTCTTGCAACTTTGTTGACTATTTGCAACAAAACGTTTAATGGTTCTGTGATCACTCCCCAACATCTTAGCAATTTGAAGAATACTTCATCCCTCTAAAAGACTTTTTACATTTTTTTACTTTTCAGAGTCAGTTAAATCTTCTTTTGGCTCATTTTGCCTGAGGAAAAGAAGCTAATCATTACGCACACCTCGATATAGGGTGTTGAGCTCCTTAGGCCACACCCTCCCTCATTACACAAATACACATCATCTGATATGCTTGTATTCACTAAGCATTCAAATTTATACAGCTTGGAGTGGAAAATATGCATGAAAATGATGATATGGTCAAAATACTCACTTGCCTAATAATTGTGCACACAGTGTAATTGTGTTAAATGTGGAATTAAATGGTGTCAGATCTACATATACAAACCTTTTTCCCAAGCTACTATAATCTCTAAATGGTAACTGAAAATTTTATGCAACTACTGGTAATTAAATATGCCATCAGTAGATGTTACTGTTGATTGGAAGACGGCATCAAGTTTGAGTCTTGGGAGCGTAAGTAACATGGAACATTTGCAGCACTCAATTTTACTATTTAATGAGGCACAGGAAAAGCAGATTAATGAAATAGACTCTTTATTGCTGCACACATGCTTATATATTAAGCTTTTAAATATATAATTATATTGCCATTCTGTAAAGCTTTACATTCTCTTTATTTTAAATAACAGAGGGCCAAGTTAAAGTAAGATCATAATAAGTCTGACATTTAAACTCTCTACAATGCAATTAATAGCCAGGAAGACTAACAATAAATAATTAGAGATCCATTATTTTCCTAACTTCTTTGGATTTAACGGAGGTGACCTTTCACTGTATGTTAAATAGGTACTAGTCTGTTTTTATCCACAACTCTGATTTATACAAGGGAACCAACAAAATACAAGACAGACCAAGGGATAGCTCATCAAGGAGTTGTACTGAGAAACACAATAATACTGGTAATTCATTCTGAATTTACTTACCATTCTCAGTACTATAAACAAAGCTTTGTTCAGCCACCTTCACTGCCTATCTAAAAGTTAACTGAATCTTCACTTGACAATATTTTTTAAAAAGAATTTATTTAAAAAAACCCAAATGCAATTACCAGTAGTAATTTTCTGTGCTTATATCACGTTAACTTTACTAGATACTTGCAAGGAAGAGAACACTAGGATGCTATGTATAAAAAAGCTTACTGTGCTTTGTTTCTGTTGCAATAATTTACTGTTCAAATAAAAAATGGAAATAGAAAAGGTTATGATTTATTCCAGTATGATGTCCATTTATTCACTGGAGGGGGCTTATAAGTTGGTACAAGAAAGATTCTATAATATTTGCCAAAGATGTTTGCCAAAAAGAAATGTCAAGAAATCCAGCATTTTAGTTCCCTTCATTTTCCTGGTAAAACACAGGAAAAGAAAGATCCTGGCCAGGCTTTTATTTATGGATTGTGAATAACAGACTATCATTTCTTATGCTTTTAAATAAGCACCAATCCTTTAAAGGTATGCTTTTCTTGGCATACTATTAAGAATACACAACTTTTTTGACCTTACGTGTAAAGAGTTATCAGTGCATGGAAACTGTGCTAGAATCCAACATCGTTTTTGTCACATCAATGTCTCACTAAAGTTAATCTACCAACGCAACTGCTGTAACACTTACTAACAGTATTACTGTAATATAGAACAATATTTCCTCATAACGTCAGGATAATCCAAATGGGAATTTAGTTCTTTCCTTGTTAAATTTATCTAATAATGAGCACATCATTCTAGAGTGGTTGGGTGACACAGAACCCTGGCTGATCTACCTAGTATGGGTTTCTATATTAAGCACTTATTTCATTGCATTTCCCATCCCTCCCCGCTCCCACTGTCTGAATGGCCACAATGCATTTTCCAGCTATCATTCATATTAATGGGGGGAATAACAAAGAACATAATGAACTGGATAGTGGTGAGACACTATTTACTTACAGACTAAGATCTTAATAACCAGTCCGAATTGTCTCTTTTCTGCACAACATGAAAATATGTCATGATGATGCAGATTATGAAAGGTCTGCTATGCTGTTCTGAACTTAGTAATTAAACTAATCTCACGAGCTATGTATATACACCCTAGATTGAATATATACAGTATGGGGAAACAGCACCAGTCTTTTAGGAAACCTGTCAATCAATTACACAGAGCCAGCTAGAACATCTGTTATTGACAGGTGATTGTAGACATTAGAACTGTGTACATATGGATGACCTACACCTCACTGCGTCCAACAATAAAATATTGTTAAATTTTCATACAGACCTTCACATAGGGGACCTTAATGTGAACTGACTTAAATCAAATGATGTATACCCTAAAATATTGCACTGTATATACTATGACATGTGAATATATTCTCATCTGCCATTCAATATATCAAAGGGTAGAGCTAGTTAGCAAGGTGATACCTTCTATTGCCTCACAATATTGGGATCTGCACAAAACAAATTTATGCTTCCACTGCTAAGGGAAACAATGCTCCATCAGTCCATTGTGGTATCATGCAAGTACAACACAGTCACTTGTACATACATACTCCATGCTGAAATTTGGAAATCACATAAGTAAATCCCCAAGCACAGTAAAATCAAAAGAACATTACTATCTACAGATATGCAGATATACCAAACCTTCATGTCTCAGTGTCCCTATAAAACAGCAGGAAAAGGGGAAAGGGCAAGTGCTTTTGCACCATATGGTGACAAAATATTTTATTTCAAGGATCAGATTTTTTAAAAAAGTAAATGAACTTGATCAGCTGATGAATAAGGCAGCTAGATTAGAAAACTGAGGGTCTGCTCAGTTCCAGCTCTGCACATTTAGACGTTTAGGCTGTAAGACTAGCAGCAGGCAATCTCAGCTTTTAGTTTACCAACTTCATATTCTTATAATTCAGTAAAAGCTTTTATTTCCTTCTTTACCCAGCAGGAATGGCAATATTCTGAAGGATGGACCCATTTTCATTGAGCTTGTTTGGACTGCAGTAATTCGTTGTATGCCAAATAGTACATTCATTACATGCAAACCTTCCATCGACAATATAACATACACCTAACCATGTTTTCAAACTACAGATTCTTCTGGGGATCTATTTCCTGGAAGAAGAAAAATATTAATTCAGATGCAGTAGTCGTCAACGTAAAAAATAAGGAAAACATAAATAAAACATAAAGAAATGGGAAAATCAAATAGGAAAAAAAAAGATGTGAACTTTGCAGAAATGAACTCTGAACTGATACTTCATTTAATTACACAAGAAAATCTCCCAGATTAACATTCAAGTCCAATGCTAGCCAAAAGATTATCCAGAGCATCTAATTTCTGGTTAGCCTCTTCAATGGCACTGTACGTTTGAACGTTGCTGGTTATGTGAAAACGGATGTCGTCCACAAGAGGAATAGAGTCCGTCTCCTGCCGCTCTTCCACTGCGTCAGCATTCTCTTTCACTGCTGCTGCAAATTCCTCAAACTCCACTAACTGAAGAAACAAGGGACAGAAAATGGATAAATCCAGAAGAATCTTTATCAGACTGTTTTCACTTATGCTGTCAATGGCAACAAAACTCAATTCTCAGAACGCAGAATCCTGCCGCATATGAGTGCAAGTGAGGTAACCCTAAACACGACTGTTTTCACTAGCCTAGTTCTGCTCTGAGAATAAGATGAAAAATGTATTTTAAAAAATTCAGCCTTCTAACGCTATAACAAAATAATATAGTGATGGCACAATCTTTTAAAAACAATTGCTAAGGATCTTGGGATCAAACCTTGACCCTTGGCCTTTCAGCCAGATTGCTTTTAAACACACAACTCACAGAGGAATGTTTGCAGCCTCACTCACACCACAGCAAGTATTGTCTCTACTACATGCTTCTGTTTTTGATAGCTTTGTCCAATAAACTATAACAATGAAGGACTTCTTTGAATTCTGAACTCTGGGGAGATTAATCCAATATCTGGTACTGGTTTGGAGATGAGAAGGACAATTACAAAAAAATCAATTATTGGGCCTTTGAAAAGCAAAATTGGGTCATGCTTGTTCCTAGTAAAAAACATAGGTGAGGAATTTTGTATTAGTGAAACTGTTAATTTGGGTTGGGGGTGCACTTTCACAGACAGGAAAGAATTTCACACCTCTCAAAGCCTGTTAAATAAAGAATGTTGCAACTTATGTGGGAGTGCTAATTAAAACCATTTATCAAATCAGTAAATTGACTAAGGAACAGTGAATTTCACTTAGGAAAAATTGGTGCTGGTCAAATAGATCTTCCATATTCCAAAACCAAGTATGAAATTACATGGGAAGAAACAAGATAATTTCCTTCTACTGGGGTCAAACACTGGTGTGGATATCAACATCATCTATATATCTATATCTAATCTCTATCTTTATCTATCTATCATCACACATACACAAACACACGCACAAAGTGGATATACAATGTACTACAGGTTACTTAAAGCATAACTCAAAAATGATTTTCCCATCAATTTAATTAGAATGATAAAAGTAGCTTTCTCTATAGGTACTCTCTATATGTACTCTCTATATGTACTTTCTCTATATGTAGCTTTCTCTTTATGTACTCTAACATAAAATCAAGATTAAAGCAACAGGATGTACAGTGAAGGAAAAAAGTATTTGATCCCCTGCTGATTTTGTAAGTTTGCCAACTGACAAAGAAATGATCAGTCTATAATTTTAATGGTAGGTTTATTTTAACAGCGAGACACAGAATAACAATAAAAAATCCAGAAAAACGCATTTCAAAAATGTTATGAATTGATTTTCATTTTAATGAGTAAAATAAGTATTTGACCCATTCACAAAATATGACTTAGTACTTGGTGCAAAACCCTTGTTGGCAATCACAGAGGTCAGACGTTTCTTGTAGTTGGCCACCAGTTTTGCACATACCTCAGGAGGGATTTTGTCCACTCCTCTTTGCAGATCCTCTCCAAGTCATTAAGGTTTCGAGGCTGACATTTGGCAGCTCGAATCTTCAGCTCCCTCCACAGATTTTCTATGGGATTAAGGTCTGGAGAGTGGCTAGGCCACTTGAGGACTTTAATGTGCTTCATCTTGAGCCATTCCTTTGTTGCCTTGGCCGTGTGTTTTGGGTCATTGCCATGCTAGAATACCCATCTATGACCCAGTTTCAATGCCCTGATTGAGGGAAGGAGATTCTCACCCAAGATTTGATGGTACATGGCCCTGTCCATTGTCCCTTTGATGCAGTGAAGTTGTCCTGTCCCCTTAGAAGAAAAATATCCCCAAAGCATAATGTTTCCACCTCCATAATTGATGGTGGGGATGGTGTTCTTGAGGTCATAGGCAGCATTCCTCCTCCTCCAAACACGGTGAGTTGAGTTGATGCCAAAGAGCTTGATTTTGGTCTCATCTGACCACCACACTTTCACCCAGTTCTCCTCTGAATCATTCAGATGTTCACTGGCAAACTTCAGACGGGCCTGGACATGTGCTTTCTTGAGCAGAGACACCCTGTGGGTGTTGCAGGATTTGTCCTTCATGGCGTAGTGTGTTACCAATTGTTTTCTTGGTGACTATGGTCCCAGCTGCATTGAGATCATTGACAAGATCCTCCCATGTAGTTCTGGGCTGATTCCTCATGATCACTGAAACTCCACGAGATGAGATTTTTCATAGAGCCCCAGAGTGAGGGAGATTGACAGTTATTTTGTGTTTCTTTCATTTGCAAATAATTGCACCAACTGTTGTCACCTTCTCACCAAGTGCTTGGCAATAGTCTTGTAGACCATTTCAACCTTGGACAGCTTTTTGATCTTGGACATGGTGGAGAATTTGGAATCTGATTGACTGATTGCTTCTCTGGACAGGTATCTTTTATACAGGTAGCAAGCTGAGATTAGGAGCACTCCCTTTAAGAGAGTGCTCCTAATCTCAGCTCATTACATATAAAATACACCTAGGAGCCAGAAATCTGGCTGATTGATATACTTATTTCACTCATTAAAATGCAAATCAGGTTTTAAACTAAAAAAAAGTTAATAACTTTCCAATGCGTAAGAGGCTTTATAGCCAAATAAGAACATTTTCATACACATTCTTAATTACATCAATTCTCACTTATATGGATGTTAACACAATTGGCACGGAGGTTCCAAGAAGCTTAGGGATTAAATTAACTGCTCTTATGAATTCATTTTGTTCATGACAAATTTAAATCACTTCACAGAAATTCCAAGAAATTCCTTCATTTTATAAAGATTTGGCCTGACAAAATTAAAATGGATCGTACGTTGTTTAAGAACACAGAATACTATCTTAGAACAACTGACATAATGTCAGTTTTGAGACCAATTCTTTTAGACCAATTCTGTCTCATTATTATTAGGTATTCTTTTTTTTCTAGACTAGACCATGACTTTTTGGGTAGTACGGAAACATATAAAAATGTATCATCACACCTATCTTGAAGTGGGGAAAAAAATCAGGAATTGATAGCATCTTTTCTTTTTCAACAAATATTTTTTTATTAAAAGGCATAAGCTTTCATGAGCTGCAGCTCAGTTCATCAGATCATTAGTTGGGAGGTGAATATCTATGATTGATTTCACTCAAAGTTGGCATCTTAGGATTTTTGTTAGCCTTCATATTTTTCTTCTATTTATTATACCTTTGATGGGATTGCTTTAAATTTAGGATTGTCTTGCTTCTGGCTAAATATAAATTGTAATTGTACATAGTATTTGTATTGATAAAAAGTTTTTTAGATGAAGAAACAGCTTCATTTTTATGGCAGAGTTATCACATTTCTCACTATAACATGGGAAATAGTGTTTATTCCACTATATGACATTCCTTGCTATAGACATCCATTTCTATAGAAACCAACTGTGGTTATGGTTATAAAAAAATAGCAAATTTTACAAATAAACTAATCGCTTATTGGAACTTAGGTTTTAAAGACCTTTCATGTCAAATAATTATTTGCAACCTGCCAGACAAATAATATCTATGGTAGCTGTCCTTTACCTCCTTTTTATTACCTTCTCAATTATCCTTGCCATATACTCTGTGCACTGATCTTCCAGTCGGGTCAGTTGGAACAGTTTTGCAATCTTCCAGATGCTGACAACACTGTCTTCATCGAGAACCTGTGCCAAAGTTCTCCCACACAGGCGCTTAAGCCCAGGTAACAGATACATATCAGCAACACAAAGCACTTCATAGGCGTTTTCAGGAGACAACTGCTGGGAAAAAAGGCATCAATATAACTAGACTCAGTATGACTCCAAACCAATACATTGCCCCACTACAAGACAGATTGAAAGCCCAATCTGCATTAGGACTAAGGAGACGCAGACTGTAGTACAACCTCAGCCATGGAAGTACACTTGGGACCACTCTTACGTTCTCTCCTCAACCTACATCACAGAGCTGCTGTGTGTATGTGGGGGGGGGGGGATTAAAGGTGTAGTGCTATGTGTGGTGCCTACAGTTCCTTGAGGAAAGTAGTAGTATAAATCCAACAAATCACAATCATATGAGCTGTGGTGGCACAGTGGTTAGAAGGCAGTACTGCAGGCTACTTCTGCTGACTGCCTGCAGTTTGGCAGTTCGATTCTCACCAGCTCAAGGTTGACTCAGCCTTCCATCCTTCTGAGGTTGGTAAAATGAGGACTCACACTGATGGGGGCAATATGCTGACTCTGTAAACCACTTGGAGAGGGATGTAAAGCACTGTGAAGCACTATATAAGTCTAAGTGCTATTGCTATTGAAAGATGCAACACTGATAATTTTAATGTCCACAAGTGTACACAAAAAGCTAAATCCATAGTAGTAATAGTCGTAGTTTTATTTTAAACCAGTAGATGCTATAGCATCACTAGATATCACCATAGATATCACCAAATAGATATCTATAGTGTAAATTACTGAGAGAACCCAGAAAGCATCATGAAGAGAGCCCTCTTACAAGTCAAGGGAATGTCTATTGCCTAGATTGAAAGAAGCTAGTTTTAAGAGGGAGGCAAATTCTCTTCTCCAGTTGGCTCATGATGTCATCAAAGAAATAAATTTGGAAGGTGAAGTGAAATCCATTTGGTAGAATCAGACTCTTTGGTTCAAGAAAGTATGTGTCAACATTATAGAAATTTATCCTATGAAATAATTTTGTGAAAATATAACTTCTCCACAGAAAAAGGAGTGCATATTAATTAAAACTTGAAGTTGGAAGAATCACACAAAGGTTTCCCTATAATCACTACATTGTATAATGAACTTATTAAGTGTTTGTCTATAATACATAATTGAAGTTATTCACAGAAGACCCTAGTATAAGGAGTTTAGGGACTAGACCTATCCAAATTAAATTCTAGTTATTTAGATGTTATAACAATTACTAATGTGTGTCGTAAGTATAAAAGTCTGAAAAATAAATAGAGTGTTACATCCATTGGAACAATTGTTGGTAAGTTTCAAACAATGGTGCCAAACAAATGGTATTTATCATGGGTCTACAATGGGTCTTATAGCATCCCTTTAGTCATGTGATCAAAATTCAAGTGCTTGGAGCATACCATTCACCTTTTCAACCACAAAGTGCTTCAACGCCCCCAATCAACCTGTCTCCTCCCCAGCATCTCTGCTCTTTTGATCAGTCTGCCTGCACCTCCATCTGACCTTTATTATCTTCTTCCTCCTGCTAAGAGGTGAAGCCGTCTCATGAAGGTCAGCTAGGGGTGGCAAAGTGCAGGAGGTCAGAGGCAGCGGAGTGCAGAATGGCCAACAGGGCAGAGATGGGAGGAAGATGGGTGAGTGGGGAGAGTTGAAATATACTCCACGTTCATAAATGCAAGTGCTCAAATTCTGATCAGGCGACCACTTGGTTACTGCAATGGCCATATCTTCAAGGACTGACCTAAATAGCATTTTGTCGGCACCGTTATCATTTCAAATGGTCACTAAACAAATGGTCCTTATATAAGGACTACCTGTATTGTATTTGCAAAAGATACCAAGCTAGGAGGAACAGTAACATCTTAAAGAATGAAATCCCGATTCAAAATGACCTTGACAGTGCAACTGGAAAAGTGCTTTTTAGCTAGCTAAAGGAAAACAAGGACAGATGGCTTGGTTGGCATCTTTACTGTTGCCCTGCAGGGCGGCAAAAGGAAAAGAAAAAGTGCACAATCTCAAACAACGTTCCACAGAGCAACAGGAGCTCCTGCAACCATCTATCTTCTACAGAACAATGTCTCAAGACTGTGGAGTAACCAACATATCTTCTTGGTGCGATAAATTTAGGGAGAGGACAGGCACAGTAACTGAGCTTTTATGCTAGGAAGAAGTCACTATCACTATTATGTTGGTCTATGACCTTATAAAGATTTGATTTGCACTATCTTTCGCTTACGTCTGTTGAAGAGCAAATATGGTTATTCTCTAAGACAAAAAACAGGCAAAAAGCAGTTCTTGCAGAGAGCAATCTAATAATGCCTAAAATCCGTTTCAGAAGAAAGGCGGCAAGTATTCTCTGCCTTTATTCTTGCCTTTCAGTACATGAAGTATTGTGCACACGTACATACGTATAATTACACATGCAAAGTTCCTCTGCAGTGAAATTAGGCTAGCTCAACGTGAGATATACGTTCAATGTATGGGAATGAGGTCTCCACCTCGCATTTTACCTATCATACTGCTACCTGATGGAACTTCATGGCTCAGATTGTTAATGTTAATTTCTCTTTCTACTTAGAAAAATAAGGCACATATCTTAAAGTTCATTTTGTCCAAAGACCGTTGCTTATTTGACTGCATTTATAATGAATTACTGAATGTGTGTTATCGCACTTCCATTTTACACTGAACATTCACCATCTTGGGAAAAAAAGATATCTACTGGCCTAGTGTCTATAATCATTTTCACATCACAAACACCAGACTATTGTTTCATATCCTCTATCTTTCTGAATAATTCTCATTAAACAAATCCATCATTACTTGTGAAAAATACATGTTCAGAACTGAATTGTCAGAATATGGTACAGAAAATATAGCATCTACTCTATAGAGTTCAGTTCCGTTAAGGAGTTTCTAAATTCTAAAGCTGCAACCAAGACTTTGCACTATATGCAACAAGAAAATGCAGCATAAAAACAAGTAAACTATTTTTAGCTCTGGCCAGTTTGCTAACTGTATACTGCCCTCTACTGGCAAACTGACCACTCCGTGTCCCCTTGCGCTTCTGTAAAATCACTTCCATTGAGCTCAACTCCTGCTTGCTTTATGGATCCATCCCTGTGGTATTCTTGGCAATCTCTACAGTTTTTGCTTCTGGGACTTTTTTTTTTCATCTTTCCCGATAAGCCAACAGTATACCTTACAAAAATATTCCTTGTTACTATCAGGAATACAAAAGTGGAAGAATGAATGTGTGCTGATATATGCACATGTGTGCGTCAGCATGTTGTGAGACACAGAGTGAGCCTCATCCACGTATAGGGAAAGAAAAGACACACATGAAAGTAAAGGCCAAAAGGGTCCCAGTGGTGGTATAAGCATTTGGGATTGTTTCTCCTAAGCAGGGAGAGGGGCTCCAACAGATCCCAGGAACGACATCAGAGCTCTCTGTCCAGAAGACTGCAGTGCTAGGAACAGCCAAGAGACTGCGCAGAACCCTCAAACTCCCAGGCCTCTGCTAGAGGACCTGAAACTGAGGAAGACCTATGCCACCCATAAGGATAAGAAGGGATTTTTATTATTATTTTATATTTAGGGCAGGAATCCAGTAAATAGTACAAATTTAATAAACAACTTCCTTTAACCAGAATAAAAACATTAATTATATTCAAATATGCCTTTACTGCTTATTAATAAAACCTCAAGTAAAATTCAAGCAAAAAAGGGTTAATCGGCCAAGAATCACAAAAATTGCAGGAAGATAAATATTTTAAGAGAATCAAGAAAGGATGCAAGGGATTATGTTACCCTAATTTAATGGGTACTTTTATTTATCTTCATACAAGTACAGCAAACATCATACAATGCCGGTTCTGCCATGTTTATTTTGCTCAATAACACCCTGATAGAAGAAATAGTATAAAACAGGGGTCCCCAACTCCCGGTCTGTGGACCAGTACTGGGCCGCGGCATGCCAGCAACCCGTCTGCACAAACAAGCAAAGCCCCATCCGTGGGATGCAGGCAGCACACAAAACCACGCACCCTCCGGTCCGCGGAAAAACCTCTCACCACGTAACCGGTCCCTGGTGCCCAAAAGGTTGGGGACCTCTGGTCTAAAACACCTCATGCTCAAAAAGAAGAACCCCGGTCTCACCTCTGTGTCATCACTATAGATGTAATACAGAACTCTGATGAAGATCTCCTCTGAAATGTCATGGAGAGTCACCACGGGGATACTGGGTTGGGTTTGTAGCTCCTCACTCTCCGAGAAGTGGTCTTCTAGGAGGGCTTTGAAATAGTCACTTCGGCCACAGAAAAATGCCTTCAAAAAGAGAAGAATACGTACATGTACGGATATGTATGTGTGTGGATGTATACACACACACACACACACACACAAAATAATGGAATCTTCTTGGTTAAAATAAGCAAGCAGCAAAATCCAGAAAAGAGTCTGTGACAAGGCACCCATCTTAAACTTTTTAAAGATCAAAAATTGATCACGCTTGCCATCTTTTATCTTTATTTTTTGTTTTATTGATTTTATTGTAACTTCATTGTTGAGAGTTGGGAGGCATACAAGTTTAATAAATAATAATTTACTGTTATCCGATAGCACATTCCTATTCTGGACATTTCCTACAAGATTTCACATAAATAAATGCGTTATCATTGGTTCTATACAAGATCTTTTAATATTGAGGAATACAACAAGAATCGACCAAAATCAAATCAATGCACCCTATACCTTGTGACACAAGAAACAGTAATTTGACACTCGGAAACACAGATCAGGATAACTGCTGAAGCTGTCGGTGCTATCAAAAGGCAACTCTCCAAAACCTACCTAAACACAAAACAGAAATAAAACAACTTTAGTATTTGACCGTATATTTAATAAGATTACACTACATAAATGCACAATTATGTGTATGCATAATATACAATTATATATTCAAATATATAACACAACACATGATTGGTAAAATATTGCATTTTACCTCTTTTAGGTGTAGGATTAAACCTAAACTCTGATCAGACTTGCTTTTTACCTTAATGACATTCTAAGTCTCCCCAACCATTCCATTTCTTAGGGTATTTCAGTAAAACTCTTTGTTACATCATAGATCTACAGTCTATGTAAGACTATGAGACTTTACATTGACTCTCTCAGAAAGTCAAATGAGCTGTAAACCAGCATTATTCATACATACATCTACAAATGCATTAAAGAGCCACATCTCTGTTGAAGTCTTGCTTTGTGCTGAGCTATTTGTTAGGCGTTCCTTTTCCTTTCATGCATACTTTATTTCCATTATACATTAATTGCTGTTAATGTAGTCAGCAATCAACCTTCATATTCACACGATAATTCAAAGCTACTTGCTTTATTACATGCTTTGTCTAATAAAGATAGCTATTCTATTCCTACTAATCAAATGACAGGAGAAATAAATGAAAAAGAAAATGTTTCTATTAGCAGAAAAGTTACCATACATAACAAAGGCCAGCAGAGAGCACCTGGCATATGCTAAATACAATACAATACAATAAATGTTGTCTAACAGGAGACTTGGTATAAAAATGATTTATGGTAATTTTTTTGTTTATAGCAAATCAGAAAATTTTGCTCCAAAGTTTAGATTTACAGTCCAAAGTTCTTTATGTGTTCCACGTTTTATTAGTTTACTTTTGTTAACAGAGCCAAAAATGCAGGGAACGTACAGAAAAATATGAAAAGGATTTAACATAGAATTAAAAACACATAACGCCTGAGTTCTGAATGCTCATCAATATAATCCACATGCAGTCAGAGAATGTGTGCAACTTCATAGAGTCCTTTTATTTGGCATGTGCTCATGCTTCAATTTTCTGCCATACATTCTCCCACAGGAAGTGGGAACTTTAGCAATTTCTCTTGGGAATAAGAGTGAAAGTCATATATATTTGGAACAGTATGATTCACACAACTATGTATTGCAACTAGTATAAAATGAAAAACACGGTTTTTCTATATCTAACATGCCACTATATTGCAAAGGAAAACAGTGAATACTGAAGCCTGGCATCCAGTATTGGCAAACCCCAAATATCAAAGTTCATTTTCCTAAGGCTAGAATAAGTGGAGTCTGGAGAGCTGAATGAACTGAAACATGAGCTTGTTAAGGCTGGACTGAACCCACAAGTGTTTTTGGTGATATGGAAAACGATAACATTTCTACCAAACACGTTGGGTACTGAAATAAAACTATCTGAGCTGGCAATATTGACAATATCAAGCCTTTTGCAAGATATTACAGTACAAAAAAGAGCAAGATGAAATGAGGCTATCAATTCATGTCAAAAATACAGCTATGAGTAAGTAAACTGCCCATCAAGATTATGTAGCTCTGGTTACCCTAAGACAGTGATGGCGAACCTTTTAGAGACCGAGTGCCCAAACTGCAACCCAAAACCCACTTATGCATCATTGGGTGCCGGGTGGGTGTGGCCCATTGGCTGGGTGTGGCCCATTGGTTGGATATGGCCAATTGGGTGGTGTGGCCCATTGGGTGGGCATGGCTGCAGTGGTAACGGCTGACTGGGTGGGACTAAAAAGCTCAATCAATCAATTCCAACTTTGTAAGATCTTTTTTTTTCCCGTGAGAAGTTGAAATTGACTAATTGATTGAACCTTTTTTTTTTTTTTTGCACACGGCGGGGGAGGCCTAAAGTGAAAAGGTTTTATAAAATCCAGCTGAAGGCCTAGGACTGGGGCGACAGCGCGTGTGCCCACAGAGAGGGCTCTGAGTGCCGCCTCTGGCACCCGTGCCATAGAAATATGGGTCTTTCCTCCCCCCATTTATGTTCCTGTTCTTTTAATGCTTATGGAAGTCAAAGTGCCATAAATTTTTATATATGATACATCTTAGCTTTCAGCAGTACAGTATTTCACCATGATGGAAGTAATTCAGTCTACGTTCTTAAAGAAACTGTTTAGGCAGCATACTGCATGGCTATCTGAGGATGCTCGAGAATAATCTGAGACCATCTGTCAGAAGACTAGAGCTCAGACAAATGAGAACTTTGCTGCAAGACAACGACCCTAAACATTCCAGTAAAACTCCCAAGGAATAGCTGAAAAAATATATAAAGAAATGGAGGGTTCTGTCATGGCCAAGTCAAAGTCTGGATCTAAATCCCATCAAAATGTTGTAAAATGATTTCAAATTGGCTAAGCATGTGAGAAACCACTCATATGGCACAGCTGAAAACATTCTCCATGGAAAAGTGAGAAAATTCCTCCCCTTCAGCATTAGAGGCTGACAGACAATTAAAAGAAACACCTGTTTGAGGTTGTTTCCGCCAAAAGGGTCAATTAGTCAAGGGTGCTCTTCTTGTTACAGGAGGAAATGAAATGTCTGTTAAATTTTTTGTTGAATAAATATGGCAAAGCCAATTCTTCATAGTTCTTTTCTGTTCAATTACGTTGCCTTTCTCTTTCTATACTATATGATTGAAGATAAACATTGTTATTGTTATGTATTGTTTTGGTCACCGCGATGTAAAAAAGATGTTGAGACTCTAAAAAGAGTACAGAGAAGAGCAACAAAGATGATTAGGGGACTGGAAGCTAAAGCATATAAGGAACGGCTGCTGGAATTGGGTATGTCTAGTTTAATGAAGAGAAGGACAAGGGGGGACATGATAGCAGTGTTCCAATATCTCAGGGGTTGCCATAAAGAAGAGGGAGTCAAGCTATTCTCCAAAGCACCTGAAGGCAGGACAAGAAGCAATGGATGGAAACTAACCAAGGAGAGAAGCAATCTAGAACTAAGGAGAAACTTCCTGACAGTTAGAACAATTAACCAGTGGAACAACCTGCCTCCAGAAGCGGTGAATGCGCCAACACTGGAAGTTTTTAAGAAGAAACTGGACAGCCATTTGTCCGAAATGGTATAGGGTTTCCTGCCTGAGCAGGGGGTTGGACTAGATGACCTTCAAGGTCCCTTCCAACTTTACTATTATCATTATTATTATTTATTAAAAAAAGAAAAAAAACTTCACCTTAATTTCTTAATTTCTCACAGGATTATAATCTCTAATATAATTGCTGTATGCCTGTAAAATAAACGTTTCATTGATAGGGATTTCCCCTACAGTCTTTAGGCCTTTGGGTTACGGGATTGAAAGACAGAAAAAAACATAATGAAATGCTTAACACAATTATGTGACATAATTTTTCGGCCAAGAGCCTTGATTGGTAAGAGTTACATGTTAGTGCATTTTCATATTTTATTTCCTACAATGTAATTGGCAGATAAAGGAAAATATGAAAGATATGGCTTTGAAGCAATGAAATACTGGCTCAAATTCCATTGTACTACTATAGAAACACAAGTGATAGAATTGTAGTCCTGCCTATGAATAATTTATTAGGATACTCTGGCAAAGATTTTCTTTTTTTTTCTGATTGGGATTATACTATATCATGAAGGGTAGTAAAATTTTTGTGTGACTGCCAGCAGAAAATGAAAACAGATAATGTCTAATTTAGCCACTCTGGCTGCTTTTATCTAATATATCACAAAGCCTTTATTGATTATTGATTTGATTTAGGTGCCACCAGATTCCAAGACAACTCTGTGTGGTTCACAATACAAAACAAGTGACAATAAATAGAACAATACAAGTAAACAAGGTCAGCATCCAGCGAAAATATACATAATATAGACAGAAACACATCTAGCAAGAGGACCACATCTGTTCTATCCCAAGGCCTAGTAGAACAGCCAGATTTACAAGGCCTTCTGGAAGCAATCAGAGTGGAAGCCACACACATTTCTGAAGGGAACTTTATTCAAGAGGGTAGACACTGTGACAGAGAAGACATAGTTCCTGATCCTGACAGACGGCATTGTTTAACAATAATCATAAAAATCTGGTCTGCGTCAACTCTGCCAGCTTTTAATAGTTGGACAGAAAGCATGGAAGATAGGTGGTTCCTCAAATAACCTGGCCTTATGCCATGCGGGTTTGTAATCAGCACATTGATTTGCAACTGGAAGTACAATGGCAATTAAGCTTTGAAATAAGCATGTCATGGGGGCATAGCGAGGCATGCTAAAAACTACCAGCACCAATATGTTTTGGACCAACTGAAGCTTGAAAGTGCTTTTCAAGGGCAGCTCCATGTACAGAACGCTGCAATATTTGAGCCATGGGGTGACTAGGGATATGCAAATACCTTCTTGGCCACAGCTGCCACCTGACCTTTGACAGGAGCTGGAAGCCAAGAGGCCACATTACATACCGATATACAACCCCATACAAGGGTAGAGATGGAAAATCCCTGGACCTGGGCACCTCAATATCCACAGCCATTCAATTTGATAGGATCAAGTTGGAGCTATTTTCTCCTCATCCAGATCCACATGGTCTCCATTCACTGGAATAAGACCTTGGCATCATCACTTGGCCAGCTAAGGATCCAAATATATATTGGGTATCATCATCATATTGATAATATCAAATCTTGAAGTGGCAGAGGACCTCAGTTTCATGTAGTGTTGAATACAAGGGGAGAGAGCATTGAACTATGGCACTCCACAGGACTGACTGAAACCAGCTATGAAGGAAGAGAATTGCTGTAAACACTGTTCCCAATTTCCAATCTTCACAGCCTATCCAAATAAATACTATTACTGATGGTATCAAAAATTCAAGGAGCACAAGGCGAGTTGCATAAGTCTTAACCCAGCTCTGCAAAAAGGTAATCAATCATCACAACCAAGGTTGTCTCTGGGCTAAATCCTAGCCTGAGAACTTACTGAAACTGAGATAATTTGCTTTCTCTAGGGTTCTCTGCAACTGCAGCCAATCACTTGCTCAATAACCTTCCTTAAAAAGAGAAAACTGGAGACAAGATGTTAAGTTGTTCAGAATTGTTGGATCCAAGGACAGACTCTTGAGGAGAAGGCACATGGCTATTTCTTGCATGACTGAAGGCACCACCCTCTCCCCAGCCAATAATACAGCACGGACCTAATTGTAAATCATCTCCCAGGCCACCTTAATGACTCAGGGGGATCCTGGATCTAATAAATAAGTGATCAAATTAATTACCTGGCAGAATATTAAGCTAAATGTAATTATATTAGATTATTCAAATGGAAGAACACATCAAAGAGATGGAAACAAGAAATGAAATACTTCCTACCCTGAATTCAGCTGGCAAGGCGCACTCTGCTAGTAGAGCGAGGTCTTCCTGCAACTGTGAATTACCTGACGGTTCAATTGTAAGCACCTTTACACAGGTTCCTGGCTTGGAAGAAACTAAAAGAAACAAAAGCAAAAATACCAAAACTTTAAAATACTGAATATTTTATTGACATGTTCTTCTAACACGAGCTAGAGGTTGGAGTGTTAAGTNATGGGCTGACTTTGAAGTGGTTGAGCTGAGCTTGATCTAGTGACTCCCAGTGAAGTGGGAGGTTTCTACCCCACCTTTTCCCTAAGAACTTGAAGCAGCATACCTAGGGTTCTCCCTTCACGTTATCTCCATAACGGCATCTATCCGTTATGGAGAAGTGGCATGGTACCATGAAGACCCAAATGCCTTAAACCAAACTGTTTTAAAGCCTGTGCCTTCCATTAGAAGACTTAACCTTTTGGTAATTAATGTCAGAGAAATGGCTACTTTTCCATTTTCTTATAAAGAATGACAGTAAGATTGGGAGACTTACCAAATTCATACACCTTTTTACATTTGGTTTCCAAGTCTTCAATGAGATCTTGGAGCTGACATTGTTTGGCCAATCTCTTGCAGTCATTTACATATTCTACATCTATGTCCAAACACCCTGGTAAACAAAAGAAAAGTGCTAATTATCACTTCATTCTTTCAATTCATTCCTGTTATTGTTTACCAGTGTCCTCTGAACTCACAGTCTCTCCCTCCGTACAACCATAGCTATAAACTTAAACTCCAGCACCACCCTGTGGCTTAAAATAACACCAATTAATACTTTTGTGAACAGAACAGGTTATATAGGTATCTTAAAGTTATCTTCTAAATGAGGAGGCTTCGTGGTATCTGTAGCAGAACATCCAGATTCAGCCATAGTTTCATTCCATACAGCATTAATCTTGTGAACTCTCAAGCTTCCTCCTTCCATTATATATTCAAGATGGACAGTATTTAATATTTATTTATTATGTATATGTAGGGGTGTGGGTCTATACATATGTTGTACATAGTATGTTTAGGTGTGCGTCATGTATGTGTTTCACTTTGAGAGCGGGCAACTAAATTTCATTTTTGATGTGTGCCCACAGTAAAAAAATGACAATAAAGGTTATCTTATCTTATCTTATCATCTTATCTTATCTTATCTTATCTTTATTAACATGAAGCCTAAGAGGATTCTATTCTTTTACTCCTTTTAACTCTTTATATTTCTTGTTCTTTTTTCCCATTGAAAATCATTGTTTTACAACTACCAAAAATTATGCTACTACATTTGGAACTATTTAATTCTAATCCACAGCAAAAAAAGTTGCCACCCATGATCTCTTCATTCCCAATATCTTTCAAGAAACTCCAACAAATCTGAAACTTTCAAAGAAAATGTCAACAGTAAATTTATGTAGAACCTATTACAAATAAGAAATAAAATCCATAGTTTTAATATATCACATTAGACTTACCTGTATAGAGGTATTGCAGAAGAGAGCTAAAGGCTGCTGGATTTATCTGTATATGAAACAAATGAATTACATATAAACGTTTGAAAGAAATAATAATATAAACTAGAAAGTAAACAGGGCCTAGAAAATTCTGTTGGCTGAATTGGGCAGCTACAGCTAGTGCAAAATGCAGCCTCGTTTGTAAAATTGGCAAGTCTCATTATGTCCTGTAACACACCTGCTACATGGGATACAGTGTGTACTAGTTGGCTTCTGGCTGTAATTCAATATGTTGATGGTTATCATCCACAAAGCTCCACATAGCATATAGAGCCTAGCAATTTGAGGGACCATATGAGTCCTCTGGGGTCCACTCACCCTGAGTATTCTGATAGTTGGCTTGCTTCAGATTCCATTAATTGGGCAAGGTCATCTATAGGGAACCTAAGAAGCAGGATTTCTCTGTTGCTGGATCTGCCTGTTAAAACAGCCCCCTTCCCCCTTTCCCCAGAAATCCACTTGGCTCCCACTTTGTCCATATTCAAGCATTGTTTAAATTTCCCCCAGCCTTGGGTTAAAATGAATGGATAGCCCCCCTTGAGGGGAATGTTTAAGGATGGCTTACTGGGTGCCCACTGTTTTATGAATATTGTTTCTTTTTTAGACTTGTTCTTTTCACTTTATATATCTGACCAGAGTCACTGGCAAAAAATAACAAGCAAACAAGTTAAAAAATTCCCTTCAGCAGTTAAATTTTAACGGAAATAAGTCATCTATTTACAAACTATGTAATCAGTTGGGTCAGATTTAGGAATATCCAACACGGTGGCAGAAGCACACTCCTTATTCCTGACACTTTTGCCATCTTAAGCTCCCAGATAACATTTGTTGAATGTTAACCTGCACTGCAGATTAATGTATCTGAAAGTAGAAATGTGTGATACTCGTGTGATACTTCGGTTAGCATGATCTTAATGGTAACCCATAATTCCATCACTTTGCAATAAAATTTGTTGGCATCTGTTTTTGAGTAAGAAAGTAAGTAAGAAAGGAAAAAACAAAGATTGGGTTTCTTACCAATGGATGTTTCAGTGCTATGACATTCTTCCCCTTCCACTTAGTCTCAAACATTTCTGCAAAATATGCACTTCGAGCACCAAGTACACAGCGATGGGCACAGAAAGACTTCCCATGAACAATAAAAACAATGTCACTGTGGTAACCCTGTTCTAGAAGCCTGCAAAGAGATTGAGAGAGAAAAGTAGTTTCATGATTAAACAAGAATAGCGTGGAATAACTCAACTTGACATTTATATGCAATGAAAGCATACATCACCACCTTTCCCTTCCCCCTTCCAAAGAAAATATTTTAAAAAGCATTATTAATACTGAATTTGATACATCCTATTTTTCTTATTGTACTGTTACAGTTTTTATTCTGGATGATAAATTCTTAAGATATAAATCACCAGTTACAACTGTATGAAGAAAGAACAGTTTTAAACACCACGTAGCTTTTTTACACACTCCATCTTCAATTGGTGAATTTAAGGGCCGTTAGTTTAGGACGTGATTAGGAGAGGTTTTTAGAAATTTCTTCGGTACAGAAAGGGACCTGAAGGTGTCATTGACGTGTTTGGTTGAGAAGTCGAGTTTCTGTATAAAATGACTCAGATATATGACCCGTTCAGGTCCGTTTCTACACCGAAGAAATTCCTAGTTTTCTGTCGATCCCAGAGGAACCCTGCATACTTCTATATAACATAGTGCCCTAACTTAAAATTGTCACTTTTATTGCTATGGGAAAGCATGATAAGAAATAGAAGACAATGATACAGCCCCCTCCGAAGATGACTCTTTTGCCAACATCAGAATACATCTCTTTACCGCTGAAGAAAGGCATCATAGTAGTCCCTCTTCATGCACTTTGCAGTGATCTGCTTATATTCCTTCAATACCCGCCGAATAGTATCATTTAGAGCTCCATATAAGCAACGTTCACCATCAAAGGTGTTTGCTTCACATTTTGCACCTGTAAGGAAGATCAGTTTACATAATGTAAAAATGTACCAGATTACATAACACCTTTTTATCAGTATTATTTTTGGCATGGTAACAGAGAGAAACCAAATAATTTCTATAGAGCCTTTAGACATAACTGTTATTTTTAGGTCCAAAGAAAAGCTTACGAAATAAAATCAAATTCCATCCACTTAAGAGCTCATTTAAGACTATGAAGCAATATTTTAGAGAAAATAGATTTTTATTGTTGCATGAATTAGATCAAGTTTCTAAAAATGCTAATAAAATGAAAACTGAATTCCTGTAGTGGAGAAATTTAGATCCTCAGAATATTAGACTATTACATTGAGCTACCCTAGTGGGCTGAAATAATAGAGAAAATCAATTTACATACAAAGTACAAGAGATGTAGAAAAACAATGAAAATAATTTGATTTTGTCATTTCAGTGAATTGAGTATTATATATTAATATTCTCAGCTAATAAGTTTCATTTCTAGGTGACTGGCTTACATACAGCTTCTGTTAAAAAATTTTAATTGTAAAATATCTTGTACCTGTATCCCTAATTTTAGAAAAGCAGCAAATCACCTCAGGAATATGTTCATGTATTAAGACATGTATCTGCCTTATGATTTAAACCACAATCTCTAAAGGCTCTATAGAAGTTATTTGGTTTTAATGTCTGACTTTTATTTTCTCAGGTAAACTTTCAGGTAACAAGAATTGTATAAAGTTAACTGCATTCCTTTTTAATATATTTTTCCTTGCAATCAAATTATTATGAAACAGTATTAATACTCAAGAAAATATGGGTGAGCTACAGCTTGGTTTAGATGGATCTCTATGCCAAAAGAGCTATTCCTGATTTTCAGGTTTCTTCTACTAGGCACTTCATAGATTACAACAGCTGGCCATTTAAAGTGAATGTATTTCTAGTGTAAAACGTGGACCAGTTAGATCCAAGGGGAAAAGACCAACATTTCTTTGATGTTTAAAACAAGTTGAAAGGAGCTACAGTTTTCATCACAGCAAGATTATTAGCCAACTTTACAGTTCCAATTCTGGAGGGCATAAAGTGACAAATATATTTATTTCTAGAAGAATATGTCAGACTTCTTACCACTGGCTAGAAGGTATTGCACAAGTTCTTCATGTCCACAGAGACAAGCATAGTATCTATAAAAGAGAACAGTGAGATCAGAAATAAACTAATAAAAATAAAATCTTTACAGAACAATGCATCATGAGTCCCAAAAGCTGGTCCATAGCACCAATTCTGCAATTGAATGGGAACTCTAGAATTACATGAAAGATTAGGTCTCTTCAGAGTTATTGCTCTGTTTTTTAATATGAAAAGGCCAAAGCAGACTAAAGTAACTTTATGTCATATACAGGGGAAGTAGCGAACATGAATAATCCTAGAGTTCAGATATCTTAAATATAATTTAATCTTGAGCAAGTCTGAAAGATGAGCATCCAGCAACCAGCCTCTGTTTTAAGATCTCCGGGGAAGGAGAACTTACGCTATGTGGCAGCCTATTCCATTGGCTGACAATTCATACAATCAAAAATTTCCTCCCAACATCTATCCTGAAACAGCTCCCTTGTGGCTTTAACTCCTTCACCTGTGAAGGGCAATAAAAAATAAGTCTATGCCCTATTTCTGTGTGACCATTCCTCAGACACTTGAAGATGTTCTGGTATCTCTTCCTCAATCTCCTTTAAACATTCTTTGTAGGCTTGCTTTTCTGGCCCTTCACTATCCTGGTATCCTTCCTTTGAACTTGTTCTCCTTGTCCTTTTTAAGGACCAGACACAGTACTCCAAGTGGGGTCTGACCAGGGCAAACTAAAATAGAACAATAATTTCCTGTGATTCAGACTTTATATTCTTATTAATACATCCAAGATAGCAATTGCCTTTTAAGCAGCTGCATCACACTGCTGGCTAACCTGGAACTTGCGGTCAGTAAGGCCACCCAAATCCCTTTTAAATGTACTACTGTCAAGCCAGGTCTCCCCTACCACGTTAAGATATTATCAGGTATCTTCACTTAACTACTGGGCGTTTTATGACCAGTCGAAGTTACAACATCCACAGAATGGGCACTTTACAGCCCATAATGCACCTCAACAATCGTAAAGGGTAGTGCAGTGCCTCCTGCAATCACTTGACTGCATGTTGGGCATGTCAGCTTTATGACCAATTGGGAGTTCCACAGTCATGTGATTTGTGATTTTTTCGCTCATTTTCTGGCCAAACAAAAGCCCATTTGAAGAAATGGGTTTTCTTAAAAACCGTGACATTCGCTTAATGACCACGGTGAAAAAGGCTGGAAAATTCCTTCTTGTCACATGGGTGCCTCAACTTACAACTCCAATGACTTATGACCCTAATTCCAAGCTCAATTATAGTTGTAAGTTTAGGGCTACTTGTAAAATCATGATGATAAAGCATTCAAATATCCAAAAGTGTTGCTGCAATTGCCACAAATTATCGCAATATAACCAAGCTTTCAAAGTCAAGCTTACTTTCATAAAGCTGTTTACTTTGGCTGAATGTATATGCACCATATTTTAAAATAAAAAAGTTAATTATTCAGTTCCACTACAGTGTAGGATGACACCTCCAATAAAACACAAGATTAGAATGTTGCAAGTGTAGCAAATAAAAAAAATATATCTTGGTTCCTAAGCACTCTCACTAATTGTATCACTGAGTTCACACATCATATTAAATCATAATCTGGCCTATTTGTTATTAGCTTTGCATATTTTAGGACCAGGCTTATATAGTTTATTTAGTAACCCATTATGAGAAAAATATAGTATAGCATGATAGTCACATAATGGAAGAAATATATTACCTGATATTCCCTTAGTTGGGAAGAAAGAACTCATCTCCAATAAACAAACCAAGAAAATGATATATTTAACATTTTTAAGAAGTATAAATGTTCTGTTCCTTTTATGCAAGATTTCCAGAACAGATCAGATAAATAATGAACACTTTAAGCAGCAATTTCTTATGATAAAAAGCACTCGGCCTTAGATTTAAATATAACTATGTATACTTAAATGTCTTGGCTTTAGAAAGAGGTTACTGCCAGCAAACATTTGCCTGAAGAATTCATTCTACAATAAGAGTCCTTTCCCCAGTCTCATCTTGAGGAATCAAGATAAAACAAGGTGTAAGTAATATTAAGTTGTCCAGAAGTTACTTAGGCTTTTAAGGCAAAACCACCACTTCAATTTTTTTCCTAGATTCAGACTGATAACCAAAACAATTGTTTCAGGACTGATGTAATGCATAATATTCTGAAAGATAAAGTTATAAAGTTATTTTTGCCTACCTCATAGATAACAGATATCCTCACCAATCCCACAATGTTGTCTTTCAACTACTACTACTAATGCAAAATAAATTTACATAAGCTGTTTCCTCACCACCCTCTGAAAAACTGTTCTCATTTTCCCCCCAATTTTCAAAATCAACCAAACTCACATTCCAATGAGTTAATGCTATGCTAGTGAGTATTTTGTTTTCTCACTGCAGAAACTGCCTGCAACATTTTATCCCTTGTACCATCTAGCTGGCATTTCATTTAGTTCAGCTCACTAACATGCTGTCATGGACTATGCTGTAGCACAAAAGCTCCCAAATGCTCTCCTAATGTGTGCTAAGATACACCACTTCACATACATGCTAACAGTGTATATGTGTCGCTTTCTGTGAAGAGAAGATTAAGGGATATTTAAGAACCACAGAAAACAATTGATCAACTTGATAGAGAAAGGAGCACTTGATTATTAGCACTCTTTTAGTTGGCAAATGGCTAAGACTGAGCAATGACTGGTTGAAAGAAGTTTTCTGCAAACTCCAAACATACAAATTTGAGGCAGCATGCTACAAAAAATGAGTTCTATAGACAATGAAGGCAATGCATAGTCACAAGTACATATTAAATTGCATTACAAATGAATAATTGGAAATCTTTATGGTGTGACAGATCATTTTGTATAATTCTAGAGATCCTTAGGCTATCCTGCAAAATGTCAGTCATTTTGCTTCAAAAATAATATAGCTCTGAACGTAAGTTGAAAACAATTATGAGAATTAATGTTTCCACACTATTGGCTAATTCAAATTAGCAGGATTTTTCTAGCAACTTATTCAAATTGCCACACTCAAGCAATGATAAAATCTCTACTGTTACCCAGAATATTTTTTACCAAGGAAGAAAAGTATTCAGGTTAACAGAGGGGCTAGACACTGGAGTATTCTTCATACATATAACCTAGGAGAGATTACTTAAAATACTTATAACAAGAAGCATTTTCTTAAAAAAAACAACCCCAGAAAGGATAGAAAAATGCTGCAAAAACTGAAAGACCTTAGTTTTTCTTAAATCCCTGTGTAAGGGATACCAAACAGTATGGGTGTCTCAAGGCCAAAGCACTCACAAAGGGGTACTGTCCCATTTGTCTCGGACATTGATTTCAACATCTCTCTGTTCAAGAAGGTATCTGAAAGATAAACAGACAATTTTAATAACTAAGAATCTATTCCAACCCACTTTATTCATGGCTTGAGTTTTCTTTTTATTAAAAAAGTGTCCCAGCAACGGTGCCCCCTTAAAGACTCAACCCAAATAAGTGAGATTCTGCCAAAAAAATATTTTTTTCATATTACACTCATTCCATTTGTCTACCTACTGTAGATCACATCCAATCTTCTAGAGTGTGTGTGTGTGTGTGTGCATGTGTGTGTGTGTCTGTGAAACAAATAACAGAAGTTCTTTAAGGTTACCTATCAAAGGTATTATTGATATGAACACAAATATTGTCCTTTATATAGCATGAAGAAATAGAAGCATGCAACAAAGTGCAGTTTCTATTTTGTTTTCAGGTGCAATTCAATATTATTACTTTTAAATCCTTCATGGCTTGGAACAGGGGTGTCAAACTGTCGGCCCATGGGCTGGTTGCATCATGCGGAGGCCGCGCTCACTCCAGCTCCGGCAATGCAAAAAAAGTTGTGATCCGTCGCAACATGGCGAGTTTGACACCTGTGGCTTGGAGTCTCATTATCATTAAGAGCACTTACTCCACATGGAATCTGCCTGCAGGAACCACATGTTCAGAGTTCCCATTCATCAGGAATTAAGGTAGAAGGGACTAGAGACAAGCATTTTCTGCAGAGACTCTCCTATTAAGGAATTTTCTATTACCAAATATAGCATTGGACCTTCATACCTGGAATTTAGGATATCAGCTCTATCAGAGAACATTTGGACTGGGAAATAAGGAATGCATATGCCAGAGGTGAATGGTAGTACAGTAAGGATACAATGCTATTCATCATTTTTTAAAATAGCATTCTACTGATATAAATACTATATGTGTTTATATTATTATTGTGTATAAATACACATTAATAGTATTGTTATATTGTTTTGCTCCGTGCTGCTTAGATTTGCATTGACTGAATAATTTTCCTAAAAACTAGGAGGGTATGGATTCTAATCCTGCCTTAGGCATGAAAGCCAGCAAGGTGACTTTGGGTCAGTCATTATCTCAGCCCAGCCTACCTTACAGGGTTATTGTTGTGGGGAAAATAGGAGGAGGAAAAACTATTAGTTATGTTCACGACCTTGAATTATTTATAAAGTAATAAAAGGAGGGATTAAAATTGAATAACAAAAATAAAAATAAAACATCTTTTGTTTCTTGAAAAATCATTTTAAAAGGGGGGAAAAGGTATTATAATCAGACTGTTGAATTAGGACTCTAATTGGTTTAGCTTAAACTTCAGAGATATAGAGAAAACAATTAAGAAAACCCTAAAATGGCAACATTTAATGTACTACATTGGATTATTCTCTTCATCTACTATATTACTGCTGTTGTACATCTTGGTTGGTATGGGTTTTACATCAGATTTAAAAAAAAATGTTCTTACTTGTTATAAGAAAATTGAAATTAACTGTCTGTTTGTGATTTCAGTATTTAAATCTGATTAAATCTGTTATAATCATTATTTTGGTAACTGACATTGCTTAGTATGAGATAAATTTTAGCATTAGATGACTAAATCAATTGATAATTATTCCTATAGTGCTTACTTATACATACCCTCTCTTTATAAATTGCTAACAATTATTATTAGCTTGTATCTTGATTATGTCCTCTTATACAGTAACAGTGCTACATTCTTCCTTGTTACAAGCCGCACTAAACTCATTTAACGGAAAAGCAGCAGATAGATTCAAATTATCTTCAAATACCATGTAATTTTAGTATGAGACTGAATGTTTATAAATTGCTTCAAAGCTCATCTCACATATACTGTATCTCTCTACTTTTTAAACTAGCTGTGTTAGGATATCTGAAGTTGTCAGCTGTTTTTAGGGATGAAGTAGAGCTGATAAGCAGAAAAACTTTTTTTTTAGAAAAAATGTAAGAACCAGGGGCTCAGCTAGATGGCAGCATTTAGAATAACTTGACTGATGGAAAAACAACAAAATGAAACTATAAGGCAGGTTCATTCTACTTAATACTTGGATGGTAAAGCACCAGATAATTCCAAGGCTAGGCCAAGAAACAAAATAAACATTCCAGAGGCAATGTCAAACCACTTCCATGTTGTTGCCAAGAAAATTGCACTGAAATATCCATCAAGTCACCAGGAAGTGAACCTAATCAAGGAGGAGGATGGACTTCCCACTACTGACATGAAACAACTTGAGTAAGAGACTTAATAATAGTAGTTGCTTTGGGAGAGAAGTAAATGAGGGCAGGCCAAAAGTATGCTCATCATAACAAAATTAAAACAGCATTCCTTCTATCATTTTTGGGTCCCAAATATTTAATATACTGTACGCACATTTGTCTTACTATCTAACACAGGATTCTCACATACAGTACTTGAAATGATCAAATGTGTGGAGTATGCATACACACTTTGCTGCGTTTGGAAGAGAGAAAATGGAAATGGGAGTGATGAAAGCTAATGAGGATTATCTACAGTATAAGCAACTTCTAACAAAGCAAGTTAAGTGTAAACCAGGCATTCTTTCATTGAATATTTTAATATATGTAGTGTGATAAGAAACGTTAGTCGCCACGAGAAAAAGTGCTAATGCTCCTTTTGATCATCTTACTACTGTTATTCTAAATGCTACAAAGAGCCAGATGTGGTGCATATATATAGCTTATTTCCTCCCAAATGCTAGTTCCCAACCTAGAATACTAAACCAGAGTTTTCATTGTACATTTCCGTCAACAAGAGTCAACTTTTCCCCTTGCATGCCAAATAACAAGTGGTTGCATTTTCTGTTATCCTTAAAATGATGGCAAATAAATAACTAATAATTAGAAGCACGTTCAGTTAAGTGCTTGGAACAGCCTGCTCCACCTTCACACGTTGGAAGAGTCTGAAAACGCAAGAACCCACTCTGAAAAGTTCTCGCTCGTAAACAAAACACGCAACGACTCTCAACAAATACAAGGGCGGCCAAACCCGAGCACTAGGAGCTATATACCACCCGGTACTACCAACACCCGGCCCACCGCGGAGGGGTGGGGTCAGTCATGCCCCAGACGGGCCAGCCGCACCTTCTCCACCCTCGGCCCGCCCGGAGCCCCCCTGAAGCCTCGGCCCAGGCCTCACCGCACGCGACAAACGTCGCCCTTCTTGCAGCTGGTGAAGAGGTCGCTGGTGTCCATGGCCCGGCGAAAAGCGCCGCATTGACCCGGCCTGGAGGGAGCGAAGCTGGGTTCGGGCAGGGGGGCCGAGGCCGCCTTGGGGGGGAACCCCGAGCGGGACGGATGTAAACACGACGACAGGGGCTGAGCCTACCAAGGCCGGCCCTCGCTCTCCACCCAGGGGCCGCGGCTGCACGCAGGCCCGCCCCTCTCGCCGGTTTGCAGGAGGCTGGACCTCGCGGCGGGAAGGGCTCCGTCTCGCCTCTGCCCCGCTGAAAGGCGAGCCGGGGCGGTAGTCGGTCCTCAAGAGGCCCACCGTGGCTCAGGACGGTCTCAGCTGCGCGGCGGCAGCAGCAGCAGCAGCGACTCGCCTCCTTGGGAAGCTACTCGCGCCGGAGCCGGCCTGGGCGCACCCGGAAGCCCCCGTCACGCCCGGGGTATTCGTATGTCGCCGTTTTGCGACCCTCGCCCCAAAACGACGACGCTGCTCGCTTAAGGCTCGAAGAGCCCACCGGGCCGGAAAGCCTTTCTCTCTCTCTCTACTCCGGAAGCCGGCCCCATTTAAAGGCAGCGGGCGCTGCAGAAGCGACTGAGAAGCGGAAGCGCACGTGGGGGGGGGGGGTGCGGTTGCTTTTGAAAAGGACATAAATTGAAAAACGCTTAGGAAGGCACCCGGGCCCTCGGCAGGAAGAGTCGCTAAGGGAAAAGCCGCAGGATGGAGAGAGAATTTGTGTATGAATTCAACGCTGGGAGCCAGCGTTTTGCGCTTACCGTGCCGCTGACGTTCCCCGCCCAAGAAAACGTTAGTCATTTGCCTAGGCGTCTGATGCTTCTTCATAATTTGCCTTGCTTCGTAGAAAATGGCTTAAGGGAGTCTCTTGCTAAATTCGTAGAGGAGGAATCTGTAGAAGATTTTGACAGAGAAGCGGAAGCGGCTCTGGAAGCTGTAAGATCTGGCAAAATGGATTTACACCAGCTGGCGAAGGCTTGGGCCCAAGCTTACACTGAGGCAACATCAGAGTATGCCAGACCAGAAGACCCCAGCTGGGATGAAGATTTTGCAGATGTTTATCATGACTTGATCCACTCCCCTGCCTCTGAAACGCTGTTAAACTTGGAACATAATTATTTTGTTAGCATCTCTGAATTAATAAGTGAAAGGGACGTGGAGCTTAAAAAACTGCGAGAAAGACAAAGGGCAGAAATGGATAAGGTGATGCAAGAACTGGGGAAATCATTAACAGATCACGATGTAAACAAGTTGGCAGCTCAGCACTTCGAATCCCAGCAGCTTCTGGAGAACAAGTGGAACAATGAATTGAAACAAACCACTGCAATCCAAAAACAAGAGTATCAAGAATGGGTTGTAAAACTTCACCAGGATCTGAAAAATCCCAACAGTACTATTGGTGATGAGATCAAAGTTACTCCTAATCAGTGGAGAGAATCCGAAGAAGGAACTGGAAGACTCTTTGAGGACCAGAGGCAATTGGAAGAAAGTTTCACTATCCATTTGGGAGCACAGCTGAAAACCATGCATAATCTGCGACTACTGAGGGCAGATATGCTAGATTTCTGCAAGCACAAGCGCAGTCACCGCAGCGGAGTCAAACTCCACCGTCTTCAGACTGCACTATCACTTTATTCAACTTCCCTTTGTGGTCTAGTCTTGCTTGTGGATAATCGCATCAGTTCGTATAGTGGGATCAAAAGAGATTTTGCAACAGTTTGCCAGGAGTGTACAGATTTCCATTTTCCTGAAGTTCAGGAGCAGCTTGAAGTTGTTCAGCAAGTTGTCCTTTATGCTCGAGCACAACACAGTAGTAAGGCCAAAAGACTAAACGAAGCAGGAAACAGAAATAGTGGCAGTGAAGATAAATCTAAGAATGGGGAACAGAATCAATTAAATATTTTTCCAGGAGAATTTTATATCACCCGACATTCAAATCTCTCTGAAATTCATGTGACTTTTCATCTTTGTGTGGATGACAATGTGAGGTCCGGTAATATTACAGCCCGGGATCCTGCAATCATGGGCCTCCGAAATATCCTTAAAGTGTGCTGCACCCATGACATCACCACAATTAGTATTCCTCTTCTGCTGATACATGATATGTCTGAAGAAATGACAATATCTTGGTGTCTGAAAAGAGCAGAACTTGTATTTAAGTGTGTCAAAGGATTTATGATGGAAATGGCTTCCTGGGATGGTGGGATTTCTCGAACTGTTCAATTCTTGGTACCACAAAGTATTTCTGAAGAAATGTTTTACCAACTGAGTAACATGTTGCCACAGATTTTCCGTGTGTCATCTACGCTAACTCTGACATCCAAACACTGAACTCCCTCCAAAGTTCTGCAAAGGATTAATAAGATGATACTGGATTTTAATACCTGAAACATTCTGATAACTTGAACATGATTGAGGAAATTCCTAATAGAAGCATCTACAATATTAAAAAAAATCACTGTACTTTCGTGCCTACACAAAGGGAAATGGGTAATGGGTTATTTTTTTTCTTTATTTTTTTGCCATTTTGCATTCCAGGCCCACCCACTGTTAAATGCTATTCTAAGGTCCTTCCAACTCTTAGATAACAAGAACTGTAGTAGAAAGGTGGGAAGCTAAAAATGTCTGTGTATAACTGGAAAGTAGCTGTATGTTGAAAATATAATTATCAAAGGAAAAAACTGTTGCTTTTTTTCTAGATATGGATGCATGCACATAGAAGTTTTCTTACCTGTTTTGTTTTGAGTGTGATACCAATTTGTTACTTCACAGAATAGAATGTTAACACAGGTAAATATAATAACACATCCTAAACAGTTTTTATATTACCAGATGGGATTTTAGATTATATTTTATTCTTTAGGGCTGTAACTCCTACTTTGAAATATTTGGCTGGATTTTTGCAGCCCAAATATAGTAGTTATATTTGAAATGGCATTATGTTTTGCTCTTGAGTTCATAAAAGAGATAAACATGGAGAATTCAAAACCACTGCAGTAAATTAAGAGCTTCAATTTTTTAATAAGAGCAGGGAAGCAATTCATGTCCTTCCAATTTCATTGTGGGATTCATGCACTTTACCTAACCATATACTGTGACCTTTGCTTGGTTTTAGCTTCATATGTTGTATAAACTCAGCCATTGTAGTTTGTAAATCATGGCTTAAAAATTGATTCACACAATGTGTAGAAAATATTTCCTCTGAAAAGACATAAGATATTTTCTATACTATAGGTAGTAAAGTTAACATCAGAACAACTACATCTTAGTTATCTTTCTGCCAGTAAGCAAAAACATTTTCCTTTATAAAGTACATTGAGGGGCTTCTGCTGTTGATTTGGTCAAACATGCTGTTCGGTAATGGTAATAGTGGAGAAAGATGGGATTGAAGTTGAAGAAATACATTATTAAAAAAAAGTATAACTATAATTAAACCAGACATGCCTCTGCTCTGCTCTTGGTACAGGCATGCCTCTTTCATCTAGATTAAGAAATGAGTGTGTAACCCACAGTTAATACTAATATCAGCTTGGTTTTAGGTTGGTATTTAAATATATATATATTAACAAGATAATGGAGTATATAGAGAAGCAAAATACATATAACTCAGATTATGGACTGGCTCATAGACAATTATTATGACTTTGTTGTGCATAATAAATACAAATTAAGTGAAGGAAAATCATATGATATTGCCATTTTGGTGGTCAAATTTCCCACTATGGAGATTTTCTAACATATTTGTCACCTTGGCAACATTTCCAGTTCTTTCCTGTTTTCCAGGATCTTCTTAATACTTGTCTCTTAAGGTATTGGTTGGATTATCCAAAAGAAAAAGGCCAAGTTAAGATCCAATGAAATGACCAGAGTTATGGCTTGCCTATTTAATAAAAACTTAAATCCAAAAGGATTGAAATATTTTAGAGATAGTCCTCAATTTATGACCAGTTGCTTAGTGACTGTTTGAAGTTATGATGGACCTTAAAAGTACTTATGACACACATTCGAAGTTCAAATGCTGGGTCCCCCTGCGGTCATATGATTGCATTTTTGGCAATTAGCAACCGGCCCACATTTATGGCCATTTACAATGTTCTACAGTCATGTGACTGCACTTTATATTTTTTTTGTTGGAAACCGGTGTTTGCTTCCAGACAATGGATTTGCCTAACAGCCACTGTTTGCTTAATGACCATTCCATTTGCTTAGTGACTGCCTCAAAAAAAATGTAAAATCGGACCAGTGATGTGATGATCCAGTTAACAACCTTAATTATAGGCTCAAGGTCATAAGTTGAGGATTATCTGTACAGAACAACCACATTGTAAAATATCTACCTGTTTCTTTATATTTCCTCCAATAAATGGGGCTTGGAACTCATCATGTTGAGTTTCTTTAGTTTTTAATACAGTATCTATAGATTGCTTTTGTTGAGTTTTCCCTAATTTGAGGCAAAATTGATTTGAGTGGTTTTCTCTACCAGAAAATAACCATGAAGTTAAGATATTTTTTTTTATATCTGATGGCAATGTTACTTTTAACCAATTGAAAAATTTTATCTTGTAACAGAATGTTGTAAATTTTTGAAATTCTCCTTTTCTCCTACTGAGTGATGAATTTAGCTTAATTTCAAATTTAGTCATGGTTTTAGCTATATAGGTTCTGATTGCTAGAACTGCAGTAAGATGCAGAATATATATTTCAAACCGTGAATGAGTTAAAATTCTTAAAAATGTTTGCAGTTATTTGCTAGTTATAAGAATGTTCCTGTCATTTCAAAGTCCCTGTGGAAATTTTTTTAAATAACATTAATTTCCCACGCACGATACTATTTAATTTTGTTTTCATCATAACACTTTTATAAAAGTATGAAGGGGTGATGGATGCATATGTTCCATTTTCTTGAACATATTCAGAAGAAACAAGAGGAAGTACCCTAATTTTTAATACTGTTTCTTAAACATTCCATCTTAAATATCAATTCTGACTTTATCAAGCTAAAAATAATATTGATACAATTAATATCAAAAGACAAAAGATTTGGAATTCCAAGAGCACATCTTTTGATGTTTTTATACAAAACTTTATAAAAATTAGGTCCTGTTTTTTTCTACTGTGTTTACTAATCATAAGGCATAAGAAGTAAGGAAATAGTGTTATTGTTACTGTTTTGTGTGTATGCTTTTGAATCAGTCTTGACTCTTGGCATTGAGTCCCTGTAGTTATCTTGGCAAGATTTTCAGAAGTTGCTTGCTCTTGCTTTCTTCCTGAGACAGAGAAAAACTCACCCATGTGGCTTTCATGCTTAATGCAAGACTAGAACTCATAGTCTCCCTGTTTCCGGCTTGGTGTCTTTAACTACCACACCTACCTATTCTCACTATTTTGTGAGCAAACCATTATAATTCTAATTTTGACTGCTGTTCCATTTTCCTAACTAAGTAATTAACCAGTGGTTTGAAATAGTTGTCCAAATGTTTGGGAATATAAACCTCTAGATAATTGATTGTTACTGATTTGAATTCCTGATGAGTTGCTCAATAGACTTTGTATTGTTGTAGGAGTTTTTATCTAAATAGTGAATTAGAAATGCTATGTCATAAATGTGTTAATTTTCCAAAAGTCAGAAGAGTATTCATAATTGTAGAATTCTCTTGTGTTTCACACAATTAGAGCAGTAGCATTAACAAAAAGGTTTATAGTGGGTGCAATTAGTTTCTAATCCCTGTATTTCCAAACACACTTTATTTCCTTTGTTAAGGGTTCTGATGAAATAGCAATAAGTGAAGTGAACATCCATGTTTAGTACCTCTTTTTATGAAAAAATGTTGATACCTTTTTGATAAAGGTTGGTCTTTACCATGAAACCGTTTAAGGCTCTCACTCTGCTTCAAGCCAGTATCAGAACTGAAAAGAATTAAAGAAAACTGAATTTTGATTCGCTTTGTTTTACAATAGCTTTTCAACCTGTGATTTATTCTCATCTGAACCCATTAGTAAGCAAGATTACTCACCCATTATAATTTATTCAGCAAACTGTAGCCTAAAAGAAAAGTAAGTAGTGGTTTAATGTGATACGTGAATGCAATCTTCAATATTTGAACTCCAAACTAACCTCTATCTCATCCTCTAATTATTTTCTTCTGTGATTCTATGAAGGAAACAAAATTAGTATATTAAGTAAAACTTATCTCTTCTTCCTATTGTTACACTGATGTCACTAGCACCTATTTTGCTAAAATAAGCCAATTAATTTTGTGTCAAACTTAAGATTTGATCTGATTGGTTGGTTTTTGGCTAAGTAAATTGTATGAGTTTAGATACTGTAGTATGTAAAGCATGTTTATAGCAATATATGAACTGTATTGTGGCTTTTCCAGTTATTATTATAACTGATGTATGTTAATGTTAACTTAGCCCCTAACAAAAATGATAACAAATTAAAATTTAGCATCCTATGCTATTCCAATTTATGAATGTTAGAATGTATACCATAGAATTAGGTGTTATTTGGAGGGGAACTCAACTTAAAATTTATATTGTAGTAAATGTTCATATCTTCTGGGGCATTTTGTCATATATATTGTGAAAAAAACTTTGCTTGACTTTTAAGTTAAATTAAGGTTTACTATTGATCGTTTGCTAATGCTCTTGTAGCGGTACTAGGTGTTTTGTTATGAAAAATTATGACGAATAATTTAAAATATTTATCGGAAATAACCATTTGGCAAAAAAATGGATAGATTAAAGGAAGGACTCAAAGACAATTTTGCAAAAAGTCGTGGGAAGTCATGGACATAGGAAAGAACAGTACCCCAAAATCAGAACATTAAAGAAAAGAATGGTGATAGAAAATTGAGCAGAGCAGAGTGTTCAGAATACATTTGGCATTGTTTCTTGGGAAAAAAACTTAAATAAAAATCCATCACTTTGACTTGGATAAGTTATTCTTTGTAGAGTGAATCCTCTTCCAGTGGTAAAAATTTGTAGAACTGAACATTTTATCTTCTGGAAACATTTTTGTAGCACACCATAGTAATATTTTTTTTAAGAAATTTATAAATAAAAATATATAAATTATATGGAAAAGTAAAAAGATTAAAATATGTAAAACCTGTGCTTAAAACTGGTAAATACTTCCATTCTTTGATAACTTGCAATCTGCTCTTCTTGGTCTTTACCGATCATTGCTAAAGCATTGCTAACTGAGATTTATGGTTAAATGTGTATTGAGGGAAAGCAATCCATTGACAGTGAAATGACTTGCTTAATTCTGTAATGATCCATGTGTTAGTAAAAAATATTGACAATTTTGAACTAAATGTGTTTTGTTGTTGTTAGTTGTGAAGTCGTGTCCGACCCATCGCGACCCCATGGGCAATGTTCCTCCAGACCTTCCTGTCCTCTACCATCTTCTGGAGTCCATTTAAGCTCACGCCTACTGCTTCAGTGACTCCATCTAGCCACCTCATTCTTTGTCATCCCCTTCTTCTATTGCCCTCAATCTTTCCCAGCATTAGGCTCTTCTCCAGTGAGTCCTTCCTTCTCATTAGGTGGCCAAAGTATTTGAGTTTCAACTTCAGGATCTGGCCTTCTAAAGAGCAGTCAGGATTGATCTCCTCTAGGACTGACCAGTTTGATCACCTTGCAGTCCAGGGGACTCGCAGGAGTCTTCTCCAGCACCATAGTTCAAAGGCCTCAATTCTTTGGTGCTCAGCCTTTCTTATGGTCCAACTTTCACAGC